TTACGTTAGTTAGCTGATGAATTAACTTAAGGAATCAAGTTTTACTTAGCCTGCTGTGACAATGTAGTGTTACATTTATAAATGTGTTCTGAAAAAATGTTAGGAAAATGCTTATGTTTGAGTAGGTAAAGTTTGGAACCAATATTTGTATTGATATTAAATTAGTTTAGTGTTAAATATGACCTTTTAGCTGAAAAGTGTCTTTTGGTGAAGTACTGATATGATCATGTCTAAATGTAAACACTTTGTTTTATTTGTTTCTCCCAGTTAGATGTTACTGTTTGCCCTGAAGGGAAACAATGCGAGCCAATTTGCGTGGGCCCAAACATATACAAGTGACACATTGGAGGTTCGCTTGCATGTGTTGCACACACAGATTCCAGAAGAGCACCGTATTAGAGCTTAGGGAGCATACTGGATTCACTACGAAATCCTTTTATGTTTACTTTTAGTGTACAGTCTGGCTTTAACAGGTTTTTAGACAATTTAGTTTTGAAGAAATATGCAATTTTTTGCATCTTTTCAAGAGCCAAAAGATAGACTGTCATTGTCCTTTGCTCTGCTGCCACTCCTTGTAATTGTGTCTGTCGGCTTGTCTTTTTCCTGATTATATTTTTGTATCTAATTTTTTTTGTATTTAATTATATAATATAATTTCAATAAAGCATGTTCCCGAAACTAAGTCCTGTAAAGTATGTTTGAAAACTGTAAATACATTTTTGGTAAATTGCATGAAGATATCAAACACTAAAATTGTATTGAGTGGTTTACTGCATTAACGAACAACTAAAGTTTTATTGCAAAGTGCTGGAGTGGCTATATATTTTATTTCAACACAGCAGGAGCTCACATGATCAATTGATTAACGACTGAGACCAACTGATTTTACAAGGAGAATCAGTTGTGCTACAGTTTGTTTGAAATGAAAACACCAGCAATTTTGTGGATAAGACTCAACACCCACGTTTTATAGCATGTGTCAGGCTCCAGTCCTTGAAGACCAAAACACTGCAGGCTTCAGCACCCTGCCTCTTTAAACACACCTGATTCAGCTCATCAGCTGATTAGCAAGGCCTTTATGAACTGAATTCAGAGCATTAGATTTGGATAAAGATTTTGTTTCCCAGTTTGACATGCCTGCGTTATAGCAATGCTGAAGTTCATATCAATTCGAAAAACCTGACTGCACATTGAGTGGTGCACCTGCACTCCACTTTTACATTCAACTTCTGTGATTCTTTCAACAATTTGTCTTTTTACCGTTTTTCCTTACAGTGTCTGGGTGTTGTCATTAGGCTTCCACTGTTTCCTTAGTGACCATCAGTGGTGACCATGATTATTAGAGCTAGGCCTTCAGTGTGGACCAAATATTTGTGTTGAAACCCAAATAATGTGTTAAAACTTGGTTTAAAAAAAAACAACAACAACAAAAAAAACCCACACACTTCTATGTGTCACATTAGGCAGATGAACCAGATGCTTGCAGAGGTAAAATGGGTGTGCTTTATTTACAATAGGGCAAAACAAGAAATGGTAACCCAGACCAGGTCAGAAAAGATGAAAGAGCAATAAACAGGTACATAAAGAAATCCATAAACAAACAAAGGTCAAAAGCCAGAGAAAACGAACACCAAAACCATCACAGTCCAAAGGAAAATTCCAACAGAGCAAACAAGGGCCAAAAACACAGGAGGCATAAACAGGAAGAACACTCAGTATGCAAAAGACAGGGCAACTGGCAATACTTTGCTATGAGAGGCTAAAATAATGAGGTATATACAAACAGGACTAATGAGAACAAGTGAGTATGATTAAAACTCAGAGGAGGAGGATCTGTGTAACTGTTCATGATTGGTAGATGTCCGGCATGTGACTGTGGCATCAAAACCACGTGCATTATGGGAGTTGGAGTTCACAGATGTGTAGAAGTCTTTAAGGGAACTGGATAGCGTGACACGATGATAACCATTAATATGAGATTATTGTGTATTTACACTAAGATTATTGCAGTGAAAATATTTGCCTTAAACTGTTTACATATAAACATAAAAATTACAATGTATTTTTTCCGTTCCCAGACATCATTTATAGCAAACCCTGATGGTTCTGTGCTACCTTACATATTTTTTACATTTTCTAAAGGTATGTTTTTGCAATAAATGGTGGCTTTGATTAAGTTTAGTCACTATTACATATTTCCTTCTTATTCAATCATTGTTAAAAACATATAAACAAAATTATTTTTTAATGCCATTGTTTTTTAGCGACTAATAAATTGTTTTCTGGAGAAAAAGCTGGTTGCAAAGCAACCATGAACTGCTTAATGAGGAACAGCCGTTTGTTAGCTGACATAACAGATCTGGCAGTTATGGCATGCAATTGGTGCCAAAACGTTACATCCAGTGGGAGTTTTGGCACCAAATGCATGCCATAGGGGGTTGCCACTTTCCTACGAGTGCATTCGGCTGTCCAATGACGTTGCATTAAAAGTTATTAAAACTGAAAATAGCTAAGTAAAAATACTTTATTCTAACTTAAGTAAAAAAAAGGATCGTCATGGGGGAAATGTACTGTTAATGTAGTGTAACAAGATGTAATTTGTTACTTTACACTCCTGCAAAGTGATGGAACTTAGTAGGGTGTCCAGACTTTTGTACATGACACAATTACTATTTTTTAAGTTGATCAAAGATAAAATAACATTATCATTTGCAGAAAAAAAATTTTAAGTATTTTTTTTTGTTTGCTTAATATGTAATTGGCCTGGGTACCCAAACTTTTTGGTGGTCAAGCTCTAGCAAGAGCTCTGGTACCTCACAGACCTTCAAGACTTGGTTGTGTCCCACTTCTAGTGCCTTTATGCAGTAAATTAGGATATGCTCCAGGGTTCCATGCTTGCAGCAAATGGACAAGAATTCAGCACTTCATATAGCAGGAGTGGCCACTGGAAGACTACTGTCTTAGTCTGAATTCTGCTATCCAAATTGCCCTTTACCATTACCTCCAGGACTTGGTCTACATCTTTTTCAAACTGATTCCACAGTGATGCTATATTAGCATATAGCCACTTGATTCACCTCTTCTCAACCACTATGGGGTGACACCATGCCAGGACCCTCCTGTGTCTTGCCAGGTTGAATACCTGTGTTGCTTCTGACACACACACACTTTCTAAGCTGCTTATCCTTCTGGGTCACAGGGGGAGCTGGAGCCTATCCAAGCAGTCATTGGGTGGAAGGCAGGATACACCCTGGACAAGTCAATAGTCTATTACAGGGCAGACAGACATATAAATTCACACCCACACCTAGGGGCAACTTAGCGTGTCCAATTGGTCTGACTGCATGTCTTTGGACTGTGTGAGGAAACCAGCTAGACACGGGGAGAACATGTAAACTTGACACAGAAAGGACCCTGGTTGTGCATATATATATATATATATATATATATATATATATATATATATATATTCTTATCAGTTTAATATCTGATACGTCTACATATGAGGACTACATATTAAATTGATTTTTAGAACAGGGAGACGGTAAAGGAGCTTGCTCTCTCTGATCCACGCATCAACCTGGTATTGCAGTACCTCCAGGAATGGTGCACCTCCTTTGGGCATAGTCATGGGATGGAGGTTAGCGAACCAGCCTTGTGACTGGAAGGTTGCCGGTTTGATCCCCTGAGCTGACTGTATGTGACTGAAGTGCCCTTGAGCAAGGCAATTACACGTAAATTATTTTCTTTTTCAGAAAAGAAGAATAGTTTTCCATTATGGTCTTTCAAAGGCCAAACAGTTTTTGAGTGAATTGTTCATAATGACATCATGAACATTGGCTCTGTCTGCTCTATTGACACTGTTGGTCCAAACCAAGATATCTAAATTGAGAATGTTCTTTGACTATATATTTCCTGTGTATTGTCTTGTAATTTTTCTGTGGTTTATTGTTAATGACACATATAATCACAGAGCAGTACATATAAGTCACATCTTACTTATTCTTACCTTACTTATTCTTACCTTACCTTCTTTCTATATATTTCTATGCTACCTTCCCTTCTTGACTTTGTCCACATTAATTTAACCTTTGACCTGTATGCTGAACTGCATTAATGCTAAGTCCCTTCACTTACCTGCATGACTCCTGAACACAGACACACACTGCACATGCACATAAGCTATAACACAACTCATAAACACGCTATTAACTTCTCTCAGATGAGAACAAAGGAGTGTGTTTCATGCTCCAGTCTTGTTTGATTCATCACACATACTGTTTTTGCATCAGTGCTGATTCATTTAAGAGACTAATTTGTAGTTCTTGCCTTTGTCTTATTCACAAACAAGTACACACACATTTATGCACACACACACACATTTATGCACACAGATATATGTAAGTATGCATTGTTCAGGCACACACGCACACCTTTTGCATCTGCTTGCTATAATTGTCCTAGAAATCTTGGCCTGCCCACGGTACCTGTATAAATGTACAGATATAGAAATGAAAGAAACTGGCTCCATTTATCTTTAGTGGCTCCTGCAGTTATTTAATACTGTCATCTATGTAAACTTAGTTCACTGTGGTTGTTTTGGTTTCTATTGTTTGTTCTCCAAATTCAAATAGCCAGATTTATTGGAATTATTTGAATTTAGCATTTGTAAGCAGTTAGTATTTCTTAGGTGCAGCACAGTTCTGCTGTAATACAAAAAAACAATACATGTAAATGAAATTTCATAAGTGACCCACTCTTGTTAAGAATAAATTCCAATTATGAAATATGTAGTTAATCAGTAGGACTGCCTAACAGCTAATTAAGAGAATGCACTAAACAAAGAAATCAAATGAGGAAACACAGCAGCATTTGTCTTAATTCCTTTTGTCATAGTCTGATAGGGTGAGTTTCACTTACCACCCACTAACAGGTTCATGACGGATGGAATGCAGAGAGAGGGTGGAGTTAGAGAGGAAACACCTTTCCCTTTGTTTCAGGTAAGCAACAACTAGAGAGAGAACTGAGAGAAAGCCAGTGATCACACTACTCTGCTGCCTTTTCAGTTTGTTTTTTTTTATATATATATTAATCAGACTCTGCATTAAGAGGTAAGTGTTTCATATATATTTGTTCAGTAATGATTTACAGAAACTTCTTTCACTCCAAGGAACTGTGGGCATTTCCAGACTTCCATTTTTCATTTTCATAACTTAATAACTATCATAGTAGCTTCATAGTAGTTACTGAGTAATTCTTACTAGTTGCTGAAAAATAAGCTTTAATATTAATAAACAAATAATATGCCAATAGAGTTAGAGCTGCTGTAACCAGAGAGTTTGGACTTTGTCCTTTTTTTACTTGATAGAAGACATGAGATTCACTTTGCCCATAACCTGTCTCCATATATTTTCTTCTACATTTTATGTGACTGCAGTTCCTGTGGACGGTGTGTAAGGACTGATTCAGAAAATAACCTCAGTCTAGGCTTCTATTAGCTTTACTAAACATGGATGCATGTTTGTGAGACATTTAACTCAAAGGCATTTGGCAGTGTTTATTCACTGGGGGGGAAGTTACCCAGCAGTTGCATATTCAAGTGACTGATATAGATTCTGATAAAAGTAAGTTTCAGTCAGTCCATCACAATCTTTCCCTCTTTCTATTTCTGTGAAGTACTGACACTCTCAATAAACTTTAATAAAAATGTTGGATGAAATTGACTTTATTATGTGACAAATGCCACAAAAATGATTTTAAAAATGTCACAATTATTAGCACTGTCCAATTTGGTGTCCAGTGTAGCTTCCATTCATCTCATTTTCTTAAAGATCCTGATAAACCAAGCTGGTTATTTATTAATTTTCCACTCTTAATAGTGAATTATGGTGTGTGTTAACTTTTACGCCAATTTATCTGTACACTTTTTTCAAAATAATACTTGTTTTTCGACCTAATCTCTATCTGTCACATCTATAGCATATGGTCTGCAATGACAGACAGTGATTTCCCTCTATTGAGTACCTGTCCATTGGCTTCCATTATAAGTGTGTTTTGAGGCAAAATGTTTTCTGTTCTTTTCTAAGTACAGGTAAATTATTATTTGTAGTAATCAACATATGCTACCAGTGGGGCCTTTAGAGGTTAGGTTGGTAAGGTCTTTTAATGATACAGAATGATACAGAACATCAACAGTCAGCTATTTCTTTCTCCTATACAGTGTCTAAATCAGGAAGCTCAAATCTGCAAATGAAATACGTAATACTGTCCTCTTCCCTTACACATGCAGGTTGTTCCTGACTGTAACCTTTGACCATGGTGAATCATTCTATTGGCTGTCAAGTTTCCTTGGTTGTGCTATTTGCTATAGTAGTCTGTCTAGACCATGCAGGTGTGTCTTTCCTTTCATTGTCTGTCAAACATTTTGTGATCATCTTCCCAACATTGGCCTGTGGGATGCTTCATTGATGAAGTTACTTTCAAAATTTAAGTATATTATGCATAAATTAAATATGCATCTTAATGAGCAGCATTGGCCACCCACACAACAGTATAGATTAGTACAGTACAGATTAATTTGCATTAAAATAACATTGTTCTAGGCTTGTATGGTGAATCCTATTTGGTTATGCATGAAATGCTATTTCTCATTGTAATAAGGTGTGTGCTTGGGTGTGCTTAGGTATATAATAGGAATGTTATATGACTCACTAACATGTTGTGCAGCATGTCTCTTCACTGTAAACAGAATACTTTTTGTTGAGAATTTCTTTCAAGGACCTTATAATCAAACTGATATAGTATAAGCAAACTGATATGTAGCATGTTCTGTCTGTTTACCACACATTTAACTGTGACCTTGTCAAAACTGATTCATGTGATTTACACAGTTTTTACTCTCTTTATCTCAATTTTAATTGAGGACTGTGCTTTTAATTCATTTCAACTGAAAATATTAACAATCAGTGAAACTAGATCATTTTGATTTTAGATTATAGATTTTGAATGTGGTTCCTTTGATTGAAATTAATGAGATACAAGTAATTAATAGCAAATCTTAACTCTATAACTTCTTCTTCCCCTGAAATTTCAGCCGCCATACAAGTGACCTCCACAGGGCCACAGACTATCAAAAAAGCCCAGGGAGAGAACGTAATACTGGGGTGTACATACAGTGAGAGCCCATCTGACGTTGGACAGCTGGATGTGGAGTGGTCCGTTGTCAGTCCAGACATGACCCAGAAAGATAATCTGGTGAGAAACAATATGCTGTGTCATGCAGCTATAAATTAAGAGATTGCACTTAATGTTCTGATAACGACTGACTAGAACTCAAATTGAAGAACATGATTCTGTAGGATGTACCTCTAATGCATTCTTCAGAAGTGGGATGGTTATTCCTCTGCAGAACCCCACTCAAAGCGCAGCCTTAATTTGTACTTTTTTAATTAGCACAGTAAGTACTTAATCAGGTTAGGCAACATAAGATGGAGCATTTGTCAAAACTGATGAGACGGTAGTGCAGACACCAAAACAGTAGTACAGTCTGCAAAACACTGTATGCATTCTCAATTTTTCTGAATGTATTTGATCTAATCAAGTGTTTCTGTGGAGTTGTTTGTTGTTTGTTGATTCTTTAAACTATGACAAATTTTGACACATTTTTAGCAGTCACTATCTTGATGATTCAGTTGAATATGGGCTTCAGTGGAGCAAATTATTTGCTTTTTAAAAAAGAACCTAGTTTTACATTTTACGTGTCTGAGGAAAACACTACTGAAAAGCACAATTTCGTTTACAAATATAACTATTTAATATGCTTTTCACTTCAGCTGAGGAATAGAAACTGGGCTTATGGACATTGAGACTGAATGTAGAAAAATGGTATTTGTAATTGTGCAGCTATAATACACACAAATACATTTTTAACAGTAAAAAAAAAAAATTAAAGTAAAACTATGATATATCAATATGCTATGTATTGGTATATGAGGTGTTCTTTGTTCAGTACTCTGAGTACTTTTCTAGTAAAGTCCCAAAATGAAATTTCCTTGACTTCTGCTTCATTTGCAGAGTGTTTTATATGGCTAATTGTATTGACATCTGTGTCAACTTGGACTTTTCTCTAATTCTTATTAACTGTTTAATTTTTTTACACAGTCCATTCTGCCAATAACACATTGTGTGTCAACTCAGTCTGTACAAACACTCAATATATTAAATAGTATTAGGAAAACATGTTGCATATTTCTGCATCCCAAAACAAACAAGGCCCCACAATATTTCTGGTGTAAAGTCCATGAAAAGTGGTGCTTACTGATATGATATAAATGGACACTATTTTTTGTTTCTGATTTTAAAAGCTATCCTGTCTTGACCGGGGCACTCCTATAAAAGAGATTTTTCTCAGCATGATTTTCTTAGAAAATAAAAGGTCGTTGTAAAAAAGCATTTAAAAATATTTTTCTATATAAAATATTTTAATATAAAATATGAATTATTTTGATATAAAATTTTTATCTGATGTGAGATTTTTTTTTTCCAACATCACACTGCTACAATTACAATACATATATTTTTCTAAGTAACTGTGAAAAATTGTGATCAACTTCTGTGAAAAAGCTGAAATATGACACGCTGGTAACTGTGTTAAGGCTTTCCAAGAATTTGTTCAAGAATTTGGAACAGTCCTACTGCAGAAGATGTTTAGGACCTCATCATCTATGCTGGGTGGATAAACCTGTTTTTCAAATAAGACTTGTTTTTGCTTTGTGTTATGGTCTCTGAGCAGAATCTGTCATTGTCTACCTGTCAGATCTTATCCTACTCTGGGGGACAAGAGTATAAGCTAGCAAGGCCAGATCTGAAGAGTCGGCTGAAGTTTGTGGGTGAGCCCAGCCGAGGAGACGCCACCATCTCCATCACCTCACTGTGTGTGTCTGAAACAGCAACCTACCAGTGTAAAGTGAAGAAGCCGCCCGGCATCGACTCGCGAAAGATCACCTTAGTCGTGCTTGGTAAAGATCGAGGCATAGATCTCTCTCATGTTTGGTTTGATGCACTTTTAACTGGTTTCTGTTTTACAGGTTTTCCCCTTTCATAATTCAGTGTCCTCCCTCTTGTCACATGTTCATTCACATGTACCAATACGTACAGCACATATTGAACACTAAACACATACTGCTGCATGTTTTGTTTCACACCCACACACCTAAACAATCACACCCATCTGTCCAGAACATGAATCAAAGTCTTACTGAGTTATTGCAATATTGCCTTTTTTTTTTACTTATGCAATAATGCGAAAGTAAAAAATGTACTGAGCAAAAGTATGCAATTCTGGTGCTGGAAGGCCTACAGTATGGTGGCTTCCCCAGCTCTAACTCACCCACAAAACCTGGTGGTAATTAGGGACTTGAGCATTGATTGCTCCATAGGGATGGCGATGGGAGAGAAACTTGCATTAACATGCAAATGACCATGTAAGTCAAAACCACTAAGCAACAGCTCGAATACAGTGATGGAAAAGCCTTTGTTAGTCTTTGCTCACTAAAATAACATCTTCAGAAAAAAATTTAAAAATCAGCTAAATTAACCTATAAAACATTTCTCTGAATGTATTGTCAGAATAGTGTTGTTATCTAGAGTGAACTAACACACCATAAAAAAAGTAAAGGTAATCAACTTAATCCTCACGTTTTAGCGAATATAAACTGATCTTTTTGCCACAGTAGAACAACATGCTTTGGCAGCAGGAAGCAGCAAGTTACACATGTGCAGAACAGCAAAGGTTTTTTTTCTGGTTGCCTTAGCCCTCCCTGCCTTATTAACGTGTAACTTGAACCATGTGTGTTAGAGCAGGGAAATCACCAAACTGTTTTGGACACCGACCCTCCAAGAGCAGATACCCCTGGTACCCCTAAAAGGTCAGTAAGATGAAATCTCTCAACTCTGTCAGAATTTTTCCAAACTCTTGCTCTGTGTTTCAGCGCGTCCCTCTGTGCCTAAATGCTGGGTGGAGAATGGTGAGGTGATAGGAAGTACTGTGTCACTGCGCTGCAAATCTTCTGAGGGTTCCATTCCTCTAACCTACAAGTGGACGAGAGAGACTGGGAGTATGCCAGCCACAGCAACTCAGAGTAAGGCAACCCTATGCCAGAAATTGCAAAGAAAATCACACACTCTTAAATAAAGATGCCAATAATAAGTTCTATGGAGCAATGCCATAGCAATCCACTTTTGATTCCCTAAAGAAACTGTCAGTGGATAGCCTTTAAGAAACCGTTTTCGTAATCGAGATGTCTGAGTGTGAAGAACCTTTCCACCTTCCATATAATGTAAAGTTTCTACACCAGTTAAAGGTTTGTCCTAGAAACATATGTCCACACCAAGAAGGACATGCAAAGCTTTATTTTTTAATAGTGCAATGTGAACAGTGCTGTATCACAGAGGAACTCCCACCCTGTTTTTATTGATTCATTACAGAAAGCACCAATCTGAGACCAGGTATTGATCAATAGAATATCAATAAAATATACTGAATTGTATATTAGAGTGAAAAAAGAAGGAATCTGATACAATCCTACCCTGAAATAGCACAAATCACATTGTGTGATGTCATGTTGTTTGCTGTGTATTTTTTCCTGTGAGGTAGCAGAGTGTTTTGGATAGTTTGAGCATGATAGCCTACATTCTTATGCACTGTAAGTGAAGTGCTTTTATTAAAAATAAAATGTTAAAGCTCTAAAGATTTCAAATGTTAAAGCCTAGTAGTTTTAAAAAATTTAAAATAAAAAAAAAACGAAATATATTGATATCTGCTAATATACGTTTCAAAATCGATGTCAGTATCAGAAAATAAAAAGTGGTAACCTGCCATTTCTAATATTAATATGTTGATTCAGGTATTGTAGTTGTTTTTAGTTTGAATATTTTAACCTACTCTTCTTTTACTGAGCAAGAATTTGATGTTTTACTTGAACTTGACTTTTTTTTCTTCAAACTGAATTAAACTGTACGTACATTATTCAACATTATTGGGCACTCACAAGATATATTAATAATTTAATGGATCATTTGTCACCACATCTTTGCAAAGTTGTCAAGTTTAGCAGTTTGCAGGATTCTAACAAATGAAAATGTAAATTGTACTTTTAAAGTTGAACATTTTAAAATGAAGTATTTTCCTACTTTTGCTTCTGTAGTAAAGAATATTTTGGCTTGAGCATAATTTTAGAGTACTTTTTCCGCCACAATCTGACTGATTGATGTGTTTAAAGACCCTCAGACAGGAGAGCTGTTGATCAGTAACCACTCACAGAGCTACACGGGCAGCTACATCTGTGAGGTCAGCAATGAAGTAGGCAAGGAGCAGTGTAAATACACTCTGAAAGCATACAACCGTAAGTCTGGGAGGGGCAAGAGGGTGTGACTATGTCTGGTAATTTGAGTGTGTTTGATTAAGGTTTCCATTTGTGTGTGTGTGTGTGAGTTGGAGGCTAATCCCAAATATTAATATTGTTATGGAAGACTATATGAATTTATGAAGCTTGTAAGCTGTAAATATAAGGGTAACCATCTCTAGACACCTATGAAAATGAATGACAAACATAACCTCACTGAAATTTTTAATGTAACATTTGTACTTTCTATCCTAGCAACCAATAAGGCAGGAATAATTGCAGGGGCTGTTATTGGTGCACTGTTGCTGTTGCTCTTTTTGCTGTTGCTGATCTGGCTCCTAATTTGCTGTTGCCAGAAGCGTCGCTATGAAAAGGAAACTGCCAATGAGATTAAGTAAGATTTTTATTTTACTTTCTCCACATAACCATTAAGGAAAATTATGCTGTTTTAGACCATGATCTACTTTTTAGTGGATCTAAAACACTCATCACCAATCTTTTCAAGTACGATCTATTTTCCTAGAGAGGTCAGATCCTGCTTGGTTTCTCCTGGGAGTCCCAGCCATCATAAGTTCTGCTGTGATGTCTAGATCGTTTACATCATAAATGCAATACACAGTGTTCCAAGTGGAAGGCGTGTACTTTCAGTGGCATCTCCCACTGGCACTTTGAAGGATGTTAAGGCTGTTGGGCAGTGACATATCTGCCAAACCGGCTTGTCCACTGTTGCACACCTTATGTTTTTCCAGTAATTGTGGCCCTGCCTCAAACCTGTGTATATCCTGTAAGCTGTGATGAAGAACCAAAAGGAACTTCCAGTGTTCTTTGTTATTCTTGGTCAGGATGTCAGTGGCATTACCAAGAATCAACCTCTGGAAAAAAAAAACAAAATGACAAAACCTTTTGTGTGGCATGAATAAAATGTATTTACTACATAATGCTTTTGGCATTTTGACTGGATGTCTATGAAAAGAGAATGCAGTAAATCCCTCATCATCAAAACTCTGTGCTTATTTGCGGAGGGAAATTAATGGGTGATATTTGAGACATACTTTCTTTGGTCCAGTTGATAGAGCTTAGTGGATTCCCCAAAACGACAGGCTTTCCCAAAGTGCATTGGTAAATCCTTTAGTAGATTTGTTTTATAAAGTGGACACCTGCATAAGTAAACTGAGTGTCCGTCTTTCAGCGGATAAAAACCTCTCACTTTCGTGTTTTATATGTAACGTGGCAATGCAAAACATGCTATTTGCCCATGACCTCTTCTATTTTTGAAGGTTTATGACGTGGAATTAAGTAGTAATGACCTTTTTGTTCTTGAGTAGTTACAAAACTTCCCACCAGGCATAATTTTAGTCCACCTGTTTACGCTCATTCAAGGGCCACTGAAATGGACAGCTTAGTCAAATACCAGCCCATTAATTTGTTTATTTATTTGTATTAAGTATAAACATATAAAAATCAGATAAAACTCTCTATCTGCTGATACTTAATGTAGAGCTACTGTCATTGGACTGGGGCAAAACAATGGATTGAGATATGCTTAGTTATTACATACTAGATCAAATATAATAACTAATTATGTATAACAAATGTAATTATCACCTCTCAGTGGAAGAAGCATTTTAATTTGTTTACTTCTGACTACATTCAAAAAAACATCACAAGAGTAACACTTCTTAAATTATCAATGAATCATTAGAAATCTCTCGTTCACAGAGAGGATGCTGCAGCTCCAGAGAGCCGTCCTGCTAGCAGGCACTCAAGCTTCCGCTCCATCATGAGCTACCACACACATCACGGGATTATCCACAACTCAGTGAGGAACAGTCAGCCCAACAGGACTGAGTCAGGCCGCAGCAACATCTACACTGACCATAGCCAAGTGCCCCTGCAAGTCAGCTTACCTGCCAGTGACTACAAACCTCCACTCAGATATGACAGCAGATATGGATACCCTGTATAAGCTTGGCATGAAGCTTGGATGCTGAATTTGGAATGGTTCTTGGACAGAATACCACTACAATATTATGGGCTGGTTTGGTCCTAGGCCAAAATAAGCCCCCTAAGAGGGCAGAATGACTCTTGTTCTTGGCTCAGTGGGTGATATTTATGATTTTAAGCTATTGTGTTTGAGTGTTTGAGTGTGCAAAATGTGCTGAGTAACACAGATAGTGATAAATTTATAAAATTTAGTAATCTTTGTTCAAATGTATAACTATTAGTTAGACACTTTTTATATATTTTTATAGGGGTTATGATGATTTTATTTATGAGGGACATGCATCTGTTATTCACATTATTCTTTCCAAAAATATCTAAAATAATTATCCTCACTTTATCTTAAAAGCATATGGTACAGCAGTTTAAATACATCTTTGATGTACTGTAAGTATTTGGGCCAGTACTCAGCAGAAATTTTTCAAATAATGATGTCCAGTTTTTTTTGTTGTTTTTTTTTTAAAACAAATAACTCACAGAATGCATTCAATAAATTGGAAATATTTGGAAGCTGGAAACTTCCCTACTCCAAATACAAACGAAAATATAGCCGCAAGCGGCAATGAGCGGGTCCAAGCACTCATAAGCCCAAGAAACTCTCATGCACTTTAAGCCTAATAGGCCTAATAAGGCCTAACGCACATTGGGCCTTCGAGGCAGAGAGGCCGAAAAGAAATCAGAGTTCATCAACAGGCCTTCATTTGTCAAGAACAATGAGCACGGGCTTTAAAACCTAATATATGTTTATATTTCAATTTACTGATCTAAAAAGGTTTGTAGAAATACATGAGTAATGGTAACATTTCTGACTTTGTTGTGTTTGCAAAGTATTTAGTTTCTCCATGTTAAAGGCTTTGACAAGCAGGACATAAACAGAACCAATGGACCCATAAGGGCCTTTTAAGCATAAAGGACCTCAGTGAAAGTGGGTCAAATCGGTCCAAAGGTCTTCAAATGTTATGAATATTGATCAGGGACCTTTGTCAAAGATTTTCATTGAGTTTTGTTCAGATTGACCTTTTGACCTTGGTATTACAAGCTGTAGTCTTTACATGAATAATTCAAAATACCAGAAAAGGAGCACAATTTATGATATAACATGTAATTACAAAGTCATTCAGATCAGTGAACTGAATCAAATGACACCTCTTATTTATCTGTAGACTTTGTAGTATTGTTGTAACAACATTTTTAAGGATTTTAGGTGTTTTTGAGTGCTAAAGCGCCCCCTATTGGCCAATTAGGAACAAATTTTGCAAGCCACATCAGAGTCTCAATGTATAAACAAACTTAAAGTTTTGAGATGTTCGGACCAAGGACTGATGAGTTATAGCAATTTAAGCTAGCAATGCTACGGCCGCAATGATTTAGTGAAGGAGGGAGACCACAATGAGCAAAAAATGGAAAATGTGCTGGATAATTATTTACCTAGAGAGGCTACAGAGTATTTCTAGACTAGGTTTGAGAAGGTAGCTTCAAATTCCACAGAGTAGTTTGAAAAGTGCTAATTTCATTCAACATTTGATGATTGAAAAAAAACTAAGCACTTTTTTAATAGACTTCAAATGACAAAATGGTTTGGAACACTGCACTGCATGAGGGCATCTAAGTTATTTGACCAAAAATAACAATCTGTACAAGATATACTTGATTTTCAGTTACAGCGCCCCCCAGTGGCCAAATATTTTGAAACTTCACAGGTTGTTAGAAGGTGGTGAGATAGAGATAGATATCAAGTATCATAAGGATTGGCCAATGCTAAGCCTGTCAAATGGCTGCTGAAAGCTTATTGGCCGATGGCGGCCATAAATTTCAATATATCAAAGTGTCCTTAAAGAATCACTTAAAGTCTTACTAGTAGATGGTACTTGCAAAGTTTCAACTTGATTGGATGTACAGATGCTGAGAAACAGCTATTAAGGCACATTAAGCATTTACAGCGCCCCCTAATGACCAATGTGCACAAAAATGGATAGGCTACCTCAGAGTCTCATTAGGAATAAGCCTGTCAAGTTTCAAATTTTTTGGGTGAAGGATTCTTGAGTTACAGATTTTTCAATTAAATAAGAATTATTTTGATTTTTCCAGAAGGATTAATTTGCATATGGCAGCCATTTTGGTGACAAAATTGAAAATGTGCTGGATAATCATTGAGTCTTAGGCTATGCTGAATTTTTTGACACCAAGAACATGAGGATTGGATGAAAACTGTAGGACTAGTTTGCAAAAGTAGTTTTTGCATATTATGCAAATTAGCTCAAAATCTAAGTGGGCGGAGCTTAATGGTCCAAATTACAAAGTTGTTTTCTTGGACCCAAGGAATCAGGAAAAAAATATGGCTTGTCTGGCAAAAATCTGGGGAAGGAATTATAGAGCCAAACGCGTTGTGTTGCGCAATAGCGCCACCTTTAGGCCGATTGGGCTCATTTCGCGAACCTGAGTAGCGGGAGGGACTACTACCTATTGACCAAGTTTCATGTCTCTAGGACTTACGGTTTGGTCTGGGCGATTCGTTTTATCGGAGAAAAAGAATAATAATAATAAATATAGCCGCAAGCGGCAATGAGCGGGTCCAAGCACGCAACAGCCCAAGTAGCCCTAACTGGCAACTATGTGCTAAAGTTGTTAATAGAAAGGAAACAAGCAAGGCAAGTCAGAGTTTAGAAAAAGTTCACAATTTGTCAAGGTTGTCCATGAGAATGAGAAAATGAGGCTTAATAATGGTGAGTTTGAGCTGTTTAGGTTCATCTCAAGTCCAGAAGGATTTGTTAGCTCGTTGTGGCCATATTATATAAGGATATCCAAATGTTTTTGATAATTATTGCAGAATGCTCTCTTCTGAATAATGTGACAGTAATTGTATGAGGATCAGTGAAAATTTCAGAGACTAGTTCGCAAGAGTAGGGTTTGCACATTATGCAAATTAGCTAAACATATGAATAAGCAATGAAAGTTCTTTATGGTCTGACATGTTAAGAATGTCCCAAAGAACAAGACAAAAAAAGAATTTCATGCGTAGGCCACTTTGATCTTAAGTTATAGCAACAAACATGTTGAAAACTTAGACCATTTGGAATTGCGCCCCCCTATGGACAACTGAAAGAATTTTTATTTTCATGTTATGGGGTGCATGGTGATCTATACATTCTCTTACAAATGTATATGAAGGATTGTGAGAATCAGAAAAAGCATTTATGAGTTCCAGTCCTTTAAGTAAATTATGTTCTACATCAGAAGAGTTTGTTGACTTATGGCAGCCAAATTGTTTAAAAATGTCAAAGTTTTTTTGATAATTATTAAGGGGCATTGTCTTCTGAATCGTTTGGTACCAAATTGATGAAAATTGGCCAAAAATCCAGAGACTAGTTCGCAAGAATAGGTTTTTCAAATTATGCAAATTAGCTCAAAAACTAAGTGGGCGGAGCTAAAAATGACCCGGGTACACTTGTTCAGCATGTGGCAAGGAATCAGGAGAAAAAAGAATTTTGTTTCTATGTCACTCTGTTCAAAAGTTAAAGGCAATAATGTGTTCAAAATATGGGTAAAAGTTTGTATATATGCTGTAGCGCCCCCCATTGGCCAACTGGGGTGATTGTTGTTATAGGAGGTCGGAGTCTCCTCATGAACATAACCTCCAAGTTTGGTGGACCTGGGACTTATGGTTTGGGCTCTACTGAGAAATTTGTGATTATACTCGAGCGATTATAATCACCAATATAGCCGCGAGCGGCAATGAGCGGGTTCAAGCACGCAACAGCAGTATGGGCCCTTCTACAGGTTTAGCCCATTAGGCCTAAAAAGGCCTCAAGCTTCTGGTTTAGGCCATTAGGCCTAAAAAGGCCTCAAGGTTTTGGTTTCGCCCATTAGGCCTAAAAAGGCCTCAAGCTTTTGTTATATTAGGCCTAGAAAAGCTTCAAGCCTTTGTATAGTAAGTCTTTGTATAGTGAAATCTTTGAATGAATAATCCAAAATAAAAGACAAGCAGTGCAATTTTTGACATAACATGTAATTAGAAAGTTGTTCATCTTAGTGGACTGAGTCACATGGCACCATTTGTTTATATGTGGGCCTTGTAATAACATTGTAATAGCATTTTCATTGATTTTTCAGTGTTTTTGAGTGCTGAAGCACCCCCAAAGGCCAATCTGGACCAAACTTGGTGTGCTCGATTAGAATCTCAATTTGTATAAATACTCAAAGTTTGAACATGATCTGACCAATGACTGATGAGTTATAGCTAACCAAGCTAACAATGCCACGTATGCAGGAATTTGGTGATTAATCCACATGACCCTGAGTAGAAAAGTCAAAATGTTTTTGATAATTATTTACAGAGAGATGCCACAGAATTGTTCTAGACAAACTTTGACAAAATTGGATCAAAATCCAGAGATTAGTTCGAAAAGTAGGGTTTTGAAACATTTATCTATTACAAAAAAACGATACAGATTTTTAATAAACATGTATTGGCAAAATTGTTTGTCACATGGTAGTACAATAGGCTGTAGGTGAAAATTGTAATAATATAGTAATAACATGTAATAATATGAAATTTTTTGAAATAGCGCCCCCCAGTGGTCAAATCTTTTGAAACTCGACTGGTTGTTAGAAAGTGGCTAGATATAGACACCAGTCAAGTTTCGTCATGATTGGTCAATGTTAAGCCTGTCAAATGGCCTGCTGAATGCTTATTGGCCGATGGCGACCACAAATTTCAATGTATCCAAATGTCCTTAAATGCACACTTGTAATCTGGCCCAATGATGCTGCATGCCAAGTTTGAGCTTGATAGGTTGTACGGCTGCAGAGAAAATGCCCTGTTTTGTTGCTCCGCCCCCTAATTACTTATGCGCACAAAAATCGAATGGCTACCTCAGAATGGGCTCCTGACATGGCCTGTGAAGTTTGAAATTTTTTGACTGAAGGATTCTTGAGTTAGAGATTTTTCAATTAATTCTGAATTATTTTGAATTTATCCAGAAGGGTTCATTTGCATATGGCAGCCATGCTGTATGGAAAACTTAAAATGTTTTTGATAATTATTGACCTTGAGGCTCTTCTGAATTTTTTTACACCAAATGGATGAGGATTGGGCAAAAATTGGAGGACTAGTTCGCAAAAGTAGGTTTCACACATTTTGCGGTATTGCGAAAAATCTAAGTGGGCGGAGCTAAATAATCAAAATAGCCAAAAGGTTTATTTGGACCCATAGAATCAGGAAAAAAATATGGCTAGTCTGGCAAAAATCTAGTTTAGGAGATATAGACCCTAACGCGTTGACCTGCGCTGTAGCGCCCCCTTGTGGCCGACTGGGCTGATTTCTTGCGCCTGAGTAGCGGGAGGGACTACTACCTATTGACCAAGTTTGGTGTCTCTAGGACTTACGGTTTGGGCTGTGCGTTCCGTTTCAGGGCGGAAAAAGAATAATAATAATAAGAAGAAGAAAAATCCGCACAATTCCAATAGGGTTCAATGCATTGCATGCTTGAACCCTAAATATAGCCGCGAGCGGCAATGAGCGGGTTCAAGCACGCAACAGCAGTACGGGACCTTCTGC